GGGGGGGGGGTCCAAAAATCGTTCTCTAGGACAGACCCAAAATCCTCACATGATGTAACAGCTTATTGGTGGCAGAAGAAGTGGCAACATATGAGGATTTTGTATGTCTATTGTTATTAAGACGACATTTCCCGTACATTGAAGAGCATTCAGAGAATAAAAGCTTAATAAAGAACCTTGACAGAAACCTATTTTACACTGCACTTAATAAACTTATGTAGCTCACCAAGCAGTTTGGAAGGTTTATAATATCACAGGTTAGAGATATTTCAGCATCAGTTTCAGTGTGAAGAAGCCAGACACAGTTGTTTATTGATTCACCAACCGGAGATTCAATAACACCTACAGCGACATTTTTTAAAAGCTGTTTTTTTCCCGAGAGATTAGAAAAATCATAATCTACCTATAAGCACAATCTATTTTACCTTAAAAACTCATTAACAGAAAAAAACTCTTATACTTTCCCATAAAAATGTTCGATCAACAACTCAAAATATGGCACTATTCTGACTGTTATTTAAGCATCCACTTTAGAAATAATTTTGTGTTTTCAAAGATTCATTTATTGCATATCACGGATAAGAGTAACCAAGATAACTGGAATAGGAAATGGAAACGCCAATAATTATCATCATTACTCAGATAAAGAAGTGAAAGGCACTTTTATTACTTATATAGATGTAAAACATTAAATGGAGGATCACTTAAAGTTTTCAAATTAATAAAAAAAATAAAAATTTTACCTGACTGTCCTATTTTTAGATTAGATAAACATTCTCCACAGCCTAAACTTCGGTCCACTGAAAAAAAATGTTTGAAAAGGTTAATGTAATGAAGGTAATAAACTCAAGAAGAAATTTCATGCTGAATTCAGATTCGAAAACCATTTTTAAATATATTAAAATTTAAAGAAGTTATGACCAAATAACGGTACTATATTCCGGTTTTTTAACTTTTTAATGCTATGAGTTTTTTAGCTCTAACTCACTCAATTTTCAATTTTTTAAACGCTTTTAAGATTTGAATTCAGCATTGAAATTCCAAGAAAATGATGTATAGCATGAAAAATAAAAAATAAAATTTTTTTTATGGCCTTACGGTCAAATCGCAACCCTATGGACGATTTTGAAATATTTTTTATTGCAATATTTTTTAAAAGTTAAATCGCAGCGACTTCCGGTGGGCAGTTGGCTCTATTCCAATTTTGATCACCCCTACTGGACATGCCACTCCATAAATGGAAGGTCACTTGAAATTACGTCTCTAGTCCCTTAAGGCACACTTTGAGTTTAAAGTCTAATGCTAAAAAATTTCATTCACATTTTAATACAACATTTTAATACAACGCAACGTATAGCACATTTTTTCAAATCTTTCTTAGAAACGAAACGAATAAACAGTTTTGATGGTTAGTTGTAAAAAAGTGTAGCAAAAAGTTTTCACAATAACGTTTAGATAAATCGTAACGTAAGAAAATGTGCATTTTAGTAAAAGTTCTAAACGTAATTAAAAGAGTTTATATTGGAAAAGTTAAGATAAAACGTAACGTTAACACAAAATATTCTTTACACTGAAATGCATTGTAACGTACAGAACTATGCCCCTATGACGTTCTATTAAAGCAAAACGTTTGTCGTCTTTTAGATCTTAAACCAAGTGAAAGTGTAACGTAAGGTCTCTGAA